CTTCAGTCTTTTCACAGCCAGAAAGAACTACTTTTTGTTTGTTTTGTCCCAGAGAGATAACCTATCAAGCAACAATTCCTGAGAAGGATGAAGAGGCAACATAAACATGATGCATTTTTCAGCACCTTACACTTACCTTTCTTAAAAATAAAGTTACATGTATCAAAATGAATTTTACTCTGAAGAACAAGAGATGATTTGAGAATAGTTTTGTGAGTGTATWCAGTGTTTAGGTCATAAAGATTAAAATATATTCTCCGTGAGTTCTTAACACATGGCTTTTGAAGCAGACTTTAAAGAAAATTTCCATCATAGCTCACATTGGATCCTCAGGTATAGGACATGTGTTCTAATAGTGTTCTAATATCCAGARTCCATAATATTTTAATGAACGTATTCACAAGGTAGTCTTACTGAGCGAGACATGCAGAACAGGATAATACTACTACTTTTTGATTTGTATTTTTCCTAATTATATCACCTTTCTTTTTGAGGTTTCAATAAGAAAAGTCTAGAAGATGAAGTATCTGAAGAGCTGTGTATCTTACTATCTTAGGCACTAAGGGTATTTCTTACAAAATTGGCCAAGATTTGCTTTAACCTTATAGTTAACTCTCCGGACGGAAAGGAGAAAACCAACCAAACAAAAACCACAAAGGAATAATAACCCACAGATAGGAAAATCATACACTCTGAACATGCTAGCTAGAAAGACTTGCCGTGAGAATCACTCATGCAAGTGATTTCCCTTTCCGAAATTGAATCCCGTAGTTAAGAAAACAAATCCTTATGGGAAAGATTTGGAGCCTAGAGGAAGGGAACTGCATTACCAACTTGAAGACTTCAACCACCAGACAAATCCAATCTAAAGACAAAACAAATTCGTGCTACTGGAGTCACTGCTGCAACCTGACTGTATGACTGAATTTCAGCAAAGTGCAGAATTCATATCAGATATACTACAATCTTTCATRCAGCAAGATGTATATAGGAACATAATTAAAACAATCTCAGCTGGAAATGGCAAAACAGTAAAAGGCTGAGATTCTGGAAGTGGAGCAGAGCCTGAATTGACTCTCACTCCACTGCAAAACAGATATTTAAGCATTTCAGTCACCCATAACTTGAGATGCTTTTTAAATTTGGTTTGTGTTTGGGAATTTTTGATCAAAGAAGGACACATGAAAGTGGTTTTTTATTTCATCTCAGAGGACAGTCTTTCTGGAAACAAAGCTACTCACCAGCAAATCACATTTTTATTCTTGATTTTCCCCTTGCTTGAGAAAGTCACTCTGCTGAATTCACCARTAAAAATTATGAAAAATGTCTCTATGGATGACCTATACCTTGAGACTAAACCAAATACACTGAACCTTAACATACATTCTATATGTGTTAACATAAAACAACATATGGAATGGTTCCCACTTTTTTCAACACCTGGAACTGTGCGGTACCTTATAAAGCACAAAAATACCTAATATAATATTGTGATCTCCTAAAACTTCAATTCCAGCATCATAGAATAAAACAATAGATCTATATAGTTTGCTGTGCTTTTCTACACTCAAATTAAGACTACTCCTCATTTGTTAAAGAAAAACAGTTTCATTAAATCACTCTCTTTAAATATATCAATCTCTTATTCTATTTGCAGGTGCAAATTTGAGAGTCTGAGACAGGTATCTTTCACCCAAGGCTGCTAAGCTCATACCTCAAAGAGATCACTCCCTCAGAAACCGACAGGACAAACATCTTTTTGTCAACATGTCAAATCAAAGCATAAATCAAACAACAGATGTTCAAAATACCTTTTCCAACCATCTGTGGTTAAAGTACAAAGCAAAATATTTAATAAGCTTTAAAAATGCATATTTGTGATTTGCTGATAATATCACAAAATAAACTGCCTCGATTGCAAGATGCCCTATGGTAYGTTCAGATAGGGATGGAAGAATTAATCTGGGAACCCTTTCAGCAGCCAAAGGCTCCAAAATGATTTCATGATGAATTTCCAACTGATTCTTACCTTATGCCATACAGCCTGATTAGGGGTGGCATTTTCTATAAATTAATGGCTTAATTTCACTTTTGTTTTCCATTTCACTTGAGAAGAAGCCCTGAGGGCAGGAGTGCTGAAGTACTGTGTGTAGGGGTAGCAGCAGGGCTGCCCTTGACTGCAAGGGTAGTTTCTTGTTGGAAAAGGGGAGGGAACCCCACAGAACCCCAACTCTGGGGCTTTCACCATATTCAGAAACAAGAAAGAGGAGGTACTGTCAGCATAAGCATACCATAATTATTAGATTTCAGGATTAAGCATTCATGCTGGTTTGATTGGGTAAAAACATGTTCATATGTTCTGTTGAGAACAAAAATAATCATATGAACTCCTGATAGGGACATGGATGTAAAGACAGGGCAATACAAATCAGTCCTTACAGGACGCAACAAATATAAGTGTGTTTCAATTTCCTGCAAGGCGATATATAAGTTCCAGACTTGTGACTAGGATTYGTACAGAAGCGGTGAGGGAGGAAGGAAAAGGTAGCTAAAAAAAGCAGATGGGTGGACAGGACGGAAATAATAAATAGTGAGAGAGAGATTGCTCTAATGGGGAAAATACTAGAAGAATTAGTGGGTAGAGRGCAAATGAAGACCTGAGAAATGAAGCTGTGGAGTTACATGGGATGTAGAAAGATATTGGACAGAGTACATTCCTGATGAACATGTGGGATTACTGCTTGCCTCGAGTTAGGGCAGGTCCCCAGATCCCAGAACCATGACACCCCASCCGGAGCACCTCTCTGCTCCTTCACTGACTGAAAACTCAAACCAGAATTGCACTAGGGAGTGCTTCATCCTAAATGTGCAATAAAGAAAGCTTTGAAGATTAGGAATTAAAATAAAACTTAGACACAAAGTTTCAGCTTATTATGATTGAGCTGGTAGCTTTCTTTCTGGTTCATAATCCAARAACTGCAGTAAAGATCTTCCCTTCTCTGTTTCTTGATGCTAGGCTAACATTTTCCCAGTACCAGGACAGAATTAATTAGAAGTTCTCCTATGAGCTCAGCACAACAGATCTCCCTTAAATTTGGTTTTAGTCATATATGAAAACAATAAAACAATAGAAACAAAAGCGAAGAGGAAAGAGAAAGAACTTCACAGCATACTATACAGCATTACTCAACACTYAGATATGTTAAACTCTTTTATACAAGCCATACTTGAATGAAATTGTCACCTGAGTTGAAAATACACGAAATACAGTGCACATTAAATCAAATGTTTTTGCAGGCATTTCTAGCTCTGGGCTAACTCCAGAAAATCACCCAAAAAAAGCCTGAGAAAGAGGGGGACCTGGAATATACATGCAGCAAAGCTTCCTCATGTCCTGTGCTATTCCACAGACTTTGCTCATCGGAAAAAGAGGAAGTGCAAATGGAACATCTGCAACGCCTGGAGAATTCCAGGGGGAATACACAGGAAGGATGTTACAAAGCTATTTGAGCTAGTGTCAAACAYGCATAGGAGGTGCAAAATCTAATGAGGGACATTAAATTACATAGGAACAGAGTTCAACATGTAAAATAATTACTAGCTGATACAACAAATATAGTGTAACTCTGAAAATTATTAAACAAGCAAGTACAAGAAAGGCTCAAACTCAGGGGATCTCTGTCAAGCTGAACTTGTCCTACGGTTTTTCTCCMCGGGATTAGAAGATTTGTTCACCACAAGAGTAGAACAGTTAAGGTAAAAACTATTGCTGTGAAACAAGCTGCAGCAGTTACCTGGAACAGATTTTTTTTCCCCAAAAACTGGTGGCAGTCTCTATGTGCAGGTGTTGCACTGCCATCTAGTGCTCTCTCTACTGTAAAGCCCAAGCATGGGGCTTGCAGAAGGAGAGYTTGAAGTTACAGCTCTCTCACATGCCCATCTCRGTACTTTTTATTTTGCAAAAAGATGGTTTTTCTCCAGGATGCTCAGTCCCAAGAAATATGCAGTACAGTTGCAAATAAGTTCAGTACCACAAATTAGTGTTATTTACTATTTTTGTTATTTATTATTTACAGGATTATTTTAAAGCATCCAACTGAGTCCCATTCTGTTGTATTCACAAGGTAAAACTACTAATGATTTTAGGACTTTCAACTGTTTTCATGCACTGGGGGAATGCCCTGAACCCCACATTCCTCCTCCTGGGGGGATAAGCCCTTTTTCCAAACCGATATCACCTTCTCCAGGCTTTATAGAGAGACCAGGCTGACAAGAAGGGAGTGACCCCGGAGTGTCTCACCCAGCTTTATGCAACTAATTAAGCGATTGTTGAGCAAAAGGAGCAGAGCTAAATTGCATCAAACTCATGGCCCTGAAAAGACGCAATCCTTCACACACATGCACACTGGCAAAGGACCAACTGCCCCATGCAGGAGCCTTAGCAGCACAGGCTTCTCTGAGCCACAACTCAGGGAGCCAAAGCAGAGCCCCCCAGGTCACCCCCAAGGAGCAGCCGGAGCAGCCTCCAGAATCAGGGAGCTCTCACTCCTCATCTCACTTTTCCCCACGTTACTTCTGGTTACAGGGTATGCAAAAGCTAAATATATAAACATATGTAAAATACATATGCAAAACATATGCTACTTCCAAAGAGCAAAGGCTGGTCTATGGCCCACCATACATTTGAAATACATAAAYCTCAACTTAGTTCAAAAGAGTGGGCTTTTGAAACAAGACCTCTGAAAGACGCATTTCCCAAACTTTTCTGGCAAGAATTACCATTTTTGAAAACATTCTTTCAAAGTACAAAGTAGTCAAAAATCCATAACACAAATGTTACACATACTCCCAGCTCCAGGAGTTCAAGTATATGTCCTACCACCGTATTCAAGGACCCTTTGCTTCCAGCTAGTCGCTGCAGCACTGAGTGATCCCACCTCCTTGTCAAGCCCTTCCTTGCAGGGAACATTGAGGAGAAAAAAAATCTGCCACATACTTACCCCTTCTATCAGTTTGCCAGAGGGAACAACAGGCTTTCCACTAGAAAGAAAGAAAAGAACCCTTAATATGATCAGAAAGAGAAGTGGTATCTATAAAATGTCTCTGCTTTCAAAAGCAAACTTCCCAGTTATGGGACTGAAAAAGCTACATTAAAGTATAGCCTTTTACTTAGTTGTAACATTATACATTTGTATTTGTTATTACTGAAATCAATATTCAAAATACATCTTTTTTCCCCTCCAAGTTCAGCATTGAATTGTTATTGACCCACACATACTACTTACAYCATGCTTCAGGATGCAAATGTACACAAAGTTCATAAGTCCATAAGCAGCTAAACCAGAGAAGAAGGAAAGTCACAAGTTCTCTCATTCATTTCAATTTAAAAGAGCCAAGGTAGCAAAGCCCAAATTTTTAAGGCAACCAACATATTTCCACATGAAACTCTAAAGGGGCCTTGTCACGCGACCAGAGAGTTAAGTATCTTCTAGCAGGGAAGGTGATCATGAGTAACTAATGATGATAACTTCTCTAACTAGCACAGCTGATTTAAGCATCATGACAAAGAGAAGGAAACAAGTGTGAATTGAGTTTCAGGTTAATTATAGCTCTTTTATTCCAAATATGTTGATCACTAATTCAGTAAAATACTCATACCTGTGCCTACCACTAGCTGAGTAAATAATTACATTTGCTTCAATAGGGCTGCTGAAGAACTGAAGTGAGATAAATACTTCAGTATCTTGCTGAATCAATTCTTTAAAAAAGTATATAAAKAAAAATACCTGATTTTTAGCTTACTACCTGATCAGCTAGTAGAATAAATTGATGCTTTCTTTAGAGGCATAAAGATATGGCAAGAATCTGATTCTTTCTATGATAACAAGTGGAAGTATCTGCCTTATTTTTGCTTAAAGGAAAAAAAACTCATTTTTGAGCATTAATCACCAGTTGGAGTCAAGCAAGAGGCTTCTTCTCAGGCTGCTCAAACTGTAACTTAACAAGCAAAACTTTGACGAGTGTGTGCTCACACAAAAACCTTCACAGCAGAAGTCCACTGACAAACACAATTTCTTGTCATTCATCTCAGAGCTGTTTCYCAAGGGCTACTGTCAGTTACTGAGTTACATCTTCTGCAGTGGATGGCAGTTTCCACTGAATTTAGCTGTGAGGGATGTAAGCCCTTATGTGGAAGAATAGGATTTACATTCTTGTCCTAAAAATGACAAGTTTCATTTAAGTTTCTGCAGTGTTTTTCATGCTTTCTATTTGTCTTTTAATAAAGAAAGCAGTAAAATAAGAGAGGAAAATGATAATATAGAGAAGAAAAACTTAGTGGAATTTCCTATTACAGAGCTTTAGTTACCAAAATGTGCAGCTGACTCTTCAGAGTGAATCTAATATCCAGATGTGTCCAGAACTTGGCACTTCCAACTATGTCAGGTATGTGAATTTTCAGAACAGGACACATTATGCCAGAAAAGCACACAGGAGAGGAAGCAGGTAATTGTGAGGGAAATGTGCGGGAGCAGCAGATGCCAAACTGCCGTTGCTCAGCGTGCAAAAGCTGGGAAAGAGGATCTCTGCGGTGGAAAGGGACATGAGGTTGTTTGCTACTCCCAAGGATGGCATTTAAACCCAGAATAATTCAGTAATTCCACTGAAGTCAATAGTTTTAAATAGAGAGTGGAAAATAAAATCTGGCTGCTATCCCTTGTTATGCTGTGCTTAAACACAGTGGGAGGTGGGAAGTCGGTCCAACACGTCTTCACTTCAGGGCTCTCCTTCTTTCTAGGGGTGCTTCAGATGAGGCCCAAGTAGGTACTTCAATATCTGAGCTGGTGGTCTCACAGACAGGGCTGAATTACGGGAACACTCAAAGGAAGGCCACCTCCCAACCCAAAATTTGTCTGTCCCTTCTCTGTAATGAAGGATGCCACCCAGAGCGGGTGGTTGGACCCACAAGATGTTTCCTATTTCATTCCCAGATGAATTCCCAGGTGAAAGCACATTAGTATTGAGGTCTTGGCAACAACAGATAGCACAGATGCCTGGATCCTACTGAAAGTCTTGGTCATCAACTACTAATTAAAGGGCATTCACCACATTTATGTAGTTCTCCCTTTTAGCTCTAGATGTCCAAGACGTTAAACATCTATTTTTTCTTTTTTTTTTCAACTTTTAGTTCAAATATTAAAAGCTTTGACTGGAAAATAAAGTCATTGTGAGGAAAGATTTGCATAACTAGATTTTTATCTTTTTTTTATTTTGATCTGCAATATTTTAAAAGGAAAATTTTGGAAAACGTTCTCTGGAAAAATACAGGATTTTTTTTGTATTATTATTTTAGGCTTCAGAGTGTATTGCAGAACAAAGGCAGAAGTGAGTTCATATTTAAATATCTGTTGATTCCTCAGATAAACAACAATGCTGTATTTATTCTGTGGTTTGTTGCCCAATATTACTTTTTTTTTTTCCTTTTCATTTCCTGTCCCTATGTAAAAAGCCCAAAGATTTGACTTGGTTAAAGAAGGACACATTTTACTTTAGAATGCCTAAATTCTCTTTGCCAGTCCTCCCTGATCATGCAGGAAAGATTCAAGCTGAGTCTTCKCCATTTACATGCCTCTCTGATTTGGTGAGCAGTGGGTAACCAAGGTACCTGGACCTTGTCTTGGACTTGCAACATCTATGGGAGCTGCTATAGGACTGTTGGGGATGGGGCCTTTCATCTACACAAGGCTGTTGTGGTTTGAAGGGGGAGGCAAATATGGTGATATGAATCCCCTTGCATTCCAGATGATTCTCAGGGGTTAGAGGGACTGGAGACAACTGGACTTACCTTTTAATAGGAATACCAAATACTGTGGTAACGACAGGGCTGACTGGTATCAGTGCATTCACGAACCATCTGCCAACTATAGGTCTGAGCACCTTCAAGAAGTAGTCAAGTTCACAAATAGCGTGATTTATTCAAATGGAACRTTTAGAAAGCTGGGCTTGGATGTCAGTACAGGAAATTCTCTACTACAGAGAGAGGTTTTTAGCTAGCTCTGATATACAAATGCACAATCATCACTCACGCCAGAAGACAGGAGAGGGCTCTCGGTCTCCAGGAGTCTCCTCAGGCACCTTCTCAATTGAAGTAGAGGTTCAGCGCATCAAAATGGAGTCTTCCCTCCAACTTCCTCCCTTATTCACCTTTTTTTTTTTTAACATTTAGGTGGAGCTTGAATGACTGTAGTTGTACTTACTTTTGATACTGATTGGTGAAAAGGTCTCTTGCTACCTTTTAAGGTAGAATCAATCAAAAATCTGGAGAGTATGCTCATTGCAGGGTGGTTGAACCTTGGAGGCAGGTAACTTTGGGGTTGGACATGTGTGTTGACATTATAATGAGTTTATATTGAGCAAAGTTCAAGTAAAGTTCATCCAAAAGGAGTGATTTTCTCACTTGCTGGCCCAGCGCCAAACACCTGATCCTATATTTCCCTTTAGACAGCTATTGTGTGGCTTATCAGGTGTATGGCACTATCAGCTCACTGCCTTCACCAGGAGAACAASAGAGTTTGGTCACGGTGTCTTCACTCCTCTCCACCCTCCAYTGCTCTCTGCAGCTGCTAGGAGGGCAGATCGTGGTGCCCAGGGAATGGTGGAGGAGCGGAATCCTTGCACACCAGCCATCCTGGAAGTGGCAACTATGCCTTACTCCAAGCAAGCCTCTGTTAGGCCCTGGTTTTTCTCTAAATTCCCCCTTTTCAAGCAATTCYTCCATAAAAGCCAGTTCCTATCTTGTCTTTTCCATTTGTATCTCCTCTCTGCAATGTCACTGAAAAAAAACAATCTACATTACACAGAGACAGGGGGAAGAAAAGCCGTAGAAATAAGCAAAATGAATGTGAGCTSATGCCCCAGTGTATTTCAGCAAGTTCCTGCTTGGCTGCATAGCACTGCTCCACAGCTGGTGCACATTGGTTTGCTCCCCTATGGCAATGCCAGTTCTTGCTGCTGTGGACCTTCAGCCCAACCTCACTATCCTAGGGTTTTGTAGCACATGTCCAACATACCGGCCTGAAGAAATGTCTCGGAGGCGTCAAAGGAAAATACATGCTTGTGTTGACAGCATATTGATCTTGGTAACAGTAAGAGTGACCCTGACTTTGGAGGAAGTACAGCTTAGAAGTAGTGGTTATTTAACTGAACAGGAAGAAGCTGAGAGGGGGAACAAATAGAACAGAATCCCCTTTTCAACTTCTTCCCCTCCTAATAATCTACTCAGATGTGAAAATCTGTAATACAATTGTCTGGTGACCTCAGAGAAGAAGTTGTTCAAGATTAACAAAAGTGATAATTAAAAGTGAGGTGCAGCTTGGTTATCTTTGACTGTATGTGCAGAGTCCCCACRAGCATGCAGATTTCAAGCTCTCAAGCATCTGCCATAGCCAAGGAAGACTTGCTTTGAGTGTGCTTCAGTACAGTCATATACCAAAGATGTTGCCCTGTGCTCTATGAAGCTTGTCCTAATATTGCCTCTCAGTACGGAGAGGTCCTAATCTAAGATTTTCAAACAAGAATGTAGCAAACATTCAAKTTAGTATATTAATAAAAGAATATATTAATTATCTTAATTTTTATTTCATCTTTTTACTGCTTTTTAATGACTCGAGCAGTACCCATCAAAGTATACATTTGGTCAATAAYGTGTATGTTGCCATGCAATTATTTGCTCCAATAGAATTAATAGTATGAGGAATTGTGAATAAATGGAAATTGAAAATGAACTGAACTGCARTTTTTGATCACACCTTTTTTCCCTCATCTGTGCTCATTCATTCTCAAGAAACCCTTTACCACCCTTCCCAAAAAAAAAAAAAGATTACCTATAAAATCAATGATACATATGATACAAATACAATACAAAGGATTCTTTGTTATGTGGTCCTTCTGATAGATGGCAGCAGCAAAATGAAATATTTTCAAAATCCTTTATCCTTTGCAGTATCTTACTTTATCAAGATATCTCCTTAAAGTGTCCCTTAAAATATTATTTATCAAAAACCCACTGCACATGCATCTTCACAGTACATCAATCCATATTAAGCTTCAGATGTGTATCTTCCAAATTTGGGTGAATATTCGACACAACTGCTCATTGTTCTGTTACATCCCAGCTATGAGAAGCAGTTTCAGCAAAACCGAAAGCTTGAAAAGCAACAATGCAACTCCTAAAAACATCATGCTGGAAGACTCTCATTTCTCTTTATTTAAAAATGATTTGTTAATATTGGAAGAGTTTCTTAGACTTTCAAGGAGAAGAATTGCTCAGGGAAGATCTGCCTACACATGCAGAATAAAGATTATWCTTTGCCTTCAACAGTTTCTGTCCAAAGGCCCAGAATTATGAGGCTGGTCATTCAAAATGATAAAAAGGGAAAGCTTTGTGACCATACAACCTTACATTATCAGCACCACCCTGGCTTCAACTTTCAGAT